TTTTGGTTTTGGACATATTTTGGACACAGTTTTGGACAATTGTCCAAAATATCAAATTGTCCAATTTCCCATCACTGATATATGAAGATTTCATAGTTGTAAAATATTCTAAGCCAATGCTGATATTTTCGAACCCTCTTCTTAAGAAATATAAATGCGTAATTAATTGGGATAAAGATGAATTAAAGATTTCTCATAATGGCAAAGATTTAATTATTCCAGTCACCATGCATAAAGTCAAGAATAAGCTCAAGGTAAATTGCGTGACTACTACTTTAAATGTGATGCTCTCTCGACCCTAAACAAAGTTTCTCAAGACTCACAGAACTTGCAAGACTTAATTGAGAATAGTAATATATTAAAAAAAACACATGAATTATGAAGAGCCTGAAAAACTGCTATATGATATTCTTATCTCCAAAGCTAGATTAATTGAGATTAATAAAAATCTGCAATCCTTTTCTTCTTGCTAATTATACATTCCAGCTTAGCGATAGTTTCAGTGAAACCCTTGTGAAGCATTTTTTGTCTGAATATAATAAAAGGATAGGTTGAAAGCTAGAAGCTTTTCTGATTCGCGTATAGCTTCCTCTGATTCTATACGATCCTTTTCGATTGAAGCAAATATGTCATACGAGATGTCTAGAGTGAAGTTTTGATAAAGATCTCTGGCCAAAATCTCAGGTAAGTTAGAACTTTGAATAGATTTAGGCTTGTCCTGAAGGGTGCGCTTTGTTAGTTTCTTTTCTTTTTTACTTTTCTTGCACATTCATCTCATGAAATAGATCTGCTGTTAAGGCGCTTCACAAAGATCCTAAAATTGGATAATTATTTTCTTTATCTTGTGGATTATTCTCTAAAGAAGAGACTGATAAAATGAATTGTACCTTTCTAAGCTTCTTTAAAAAGTGGTTTCCATTTTGCTATGAACGCTTACAATCATTCTATATATCATAAACATGATTTTTATTAATATGATACTCTTTTACTATCATATATACTGAAACCTTATTTTTGAGATGTCTAATTTCTTCAATTTGGTCAGGTATTAAAATGATGACACTCCGCCGATAATGAGTTTTTAAAATTGAGGTAGACATTCTCCTTATATATATATTTTTTTGATGTATTTAAATGTATAAAAAATATAAAAAATCAATATTATTATTTTAGATGGATAATAAAAATTAAAATTCAATAATTATTGTTTTAGGATAAGAGGAGACATTAGAAAGCATAATTTATTGTTTTAGATGAGTAGAATACATTCTAATATACTATTTAAAATAATAATAAAAAATGATCTATATTCTTCATAACTATTCTATATTTATCACAATTATTCTTTAACAAAAAATATGAAAGTTTTTTTTTTACATGTTTATGGCCAATGTAAATAAATAAGAACATATGATCTTGAAAAGAAAATATACCGCATCTTGCAAGACTCATCCAAAATTTGAGGTTATAATGCCAGGTTACAGAGCGAATATATAAATTTCAATGATAAGAATAGGCGGTTGAAGGTTAAAATCTTCAAACTTGTTTTCTAGAATGCTTGTACAGAAATATCTCTTATCAAAGCCAAAGCTGATAACTTTGCAAAATCAAAGGAAGTGAAATCACTTCAGTCTGTAATTAATTTATTAGTTTCAGGATACTCTGATAAGAATAATCAGTTAGATTCGCATGTTAAAATTGGTGGCGAAAAAAATGATGAACTGAAAGAAGTCTTTAGCTCTAGTACTTCTTCAGTTATAGATATCCCAGATAGTCCTATATAAGGAGAGAAGAGCGGTGATTCAAATAGCATGAATTTAAAATCTAATCTCCTAGAACTAATTCTACCTGTCACTCTAGCAAATGAGATTACAGTAGGTAGCGCAAAAGGAACAGTGAAACTATTAGGCTCTCCTATCATTATAGACAAATTATTATCATCTATATTTGCCTATTTAATAATACATTTTCTATTAATCATAATTATATTGGTTATTATTATGAAAAAAACTATGGAATACATGAAAAAAAACTAAGTGATATCTTACCCACAAAAAATTTCTGGAAAGGATCGTTTCAGAAAAATATTAAGAAAAAAATTTTTATTATCTCAAATCCTAATTGACTACCGTAAAAGTACTAGCGCAAATAGAATTTCTTTAAATTTCTTTTCGATGTGAGCTAATAGCTTTTCTAATAAATCTTTGGGTAGATTTATTAAGGCATTTTCAGCTTAGGCTACCATATACGCTAATAACTAACTAATATAGATTCAGACATCTCTCTTACCATTATGTTTATATTGTAGTAAAAATCGATAGTCATCTATTACAATATTTTTCATCACCTTTTGTTCTGATATAGTTTCACAAGAAACCCTTGCCTATCCTCTTCAGTGATTGGAAGACAGATTTATTAGGTTTAAAGCCTATATACTAGAAAACTTGGTCACATAGTTCAGCCATTATACCAATAAAACTTATCTTTAAATTATGTAGATTTTTCAGCTGATTGTATCCCAAGGATACAGTTTTGCCAAATTATTATATGCAAAAAATACTAATGATCATCTTCAGACATATCTGAAATCAGGCTATATGATCAGAAGTCAGAAGAGGTCACCTTGTGACTAGATCAAATATAGGAATTAAAGTTAGTCAGTATTATTGCATGAGAAAAAAATATAAATAATATTGTGCAAAGCGCCTTAACAGCTAAGTATTTTTAGCTGAAATTGCCACATCTTCGCTAGAATACTTAATAATATAATCTATTTAAGTACTTTACTTTAGCGCCTCCACCTCAGTTACATTCTCAAGATGGAAATACCATAAATTACTAATGTCATCTAGCGCCTCAATTTCTGATATGTGAGATAAGCCAGGTAGGTTAACAATTATCTTATTTTTTCGTATGGATAAAACTGGGCTGATTTCTTCTGAAATAGATACATGCTCTTTATAACGTATATGATAGACTAATTTGTGAAAAAATAAATTATACTCTTCAATACACTTTGCAAGCTCACTAAGATATCAAGCAAAATCAGAGCATATTTTTTTCTTTATTTCGTTATCTACTGAAAGGTTTTTATCTTTTAAAATTTTCCTAACACATTTTATAAATTTCTCCTATAATATCTCGATAGGATTACTTACCATGAAAATCTTGTAGCTAAGTTATTTACCATGAAATATTTTATATGAACTACCTATTTTTTGATATAACATTTCTTGCACTTTTTTGACTGCATTTTTATAGACATGTTTATAAGCTTTTTCGCAGGATATTATCATCTTAAAAGTAACACTATTCACTATAATATTCTTTTTTACAAATCTCTTAAGTCACACTTAGTCTGTTTTTGAGCGTAATTATCAATCTGTATATATTTTTCATCTGGATCTTTGATTTGCATGATTCTGCTTATAGGAATAGGCTCATATTTCTTCTTGTACATGATAAATCAGGCACAGAGATCAATGATAATTTTTTCGTAATAATGATATAAATCTAACTTCTTACCTGATTCTTTAGCTACTTCCTGTCATGTAAATCAAGTCATGTCCAGATAGATCACTACATAACTAAAGCGTTTACCTGGCATTAGAATTCTACTCTCATATTTTCCTCTCATTTGTTCTATAAATCACTGGATACCTTGGTTATTCACATTAGATTTTCTCTATAAACTGCTCAAAATTTCATTACTTAGGATTAGTTATAGCATCCTTGAGAACGTCTTTAATGATATCATGGAGTGATTAGTCATTGTTAATATCCATAGCTCTTGATATAATTCTATCCCTTATGATTCTAAAAACTTGGAATTTACCCTATTTCACAGTATCAATTCCTCTTATAAAAAGTTCTTTCAGTTTGAAGTTTGGGGTATCTTCATGGGGATACCAAAATATTTTTTCTTCTCAGTAAATACTACTGAGAATAATACTTCTTTATAAGCTATTTTAAGATAATCTAATATAGTTTTTAGTCTAAGAAAGGTGTTTACTTCATTGCACAATTTCTCCATTACGATCATAGTAACCTTAACTATTTCAGTCCAATACTCTAGTTTCAAGATTGTGCCTTTCCTGTCATTGTAGGATAAATCATATTTCTTATAACAAGAATCTGAGCAAGTGAGATATAGGGAATCAGTATCTCTATATTTTATCCTAAAACCTTTCTTTTTCACGAATTCTGCAATGAGTTTGATATTTTCTCGTCTAACTGAAGTAACATCTTTGGCAAATTTAAGTTTGTAAAATGGAAAGTCATTTTAATCTGTCACACTATAGAATGAATTCATATATAATTTAACAGCTTTCTGCTTTGAATTTAGAGAATCGTATGTGAAATAGACAGAACTGTATTCTTTCCTAAAAGTAGCATATACTATATCAATAAAAGAATCTAAGATTTAGGCTATCTCAGTTCGCTTCTTCGTATCTTTTGTCAAGGATAAAACATCCTTAATTATACTCATCATTAGATTAGATTCGCTAACTGAATTCAATCTACTTTTAACTAACTCTATATATTCCTTTTTTTTTGAGAAGTTTTAACTCAGCTTTCATTTTATTTCACATATTGAGCAAATTTTCCAATATTTTTGAAAATAGTCCTTTCTAATCAGACTTATTTTCATAGCGTATAGTCCAAGCTCATACAGGATTGCCATTATATTTAAACTTGATAATGTGAAACATTTTATTCTCTCTCTTTAACTCATCTACTTTCAAAAGTATTGAGACCATCTTTTTGGGTAAGAAGTTGTAAGAGGACTCTGAACAATCTATGTATAGGTCAGATGAAAATTTCAAAATTTACTATGATCAATAAGCAAACTATTTTCAACTCTGCTA